ACCACACCCAAACAAGAATACGGTACGGGGCTAGGTAGCCAGTAGCTATGCATGTATTTTGATTTTACTATATATATTTAGTATATCTAGAAAAATTTAAACTTTTAAAATTAGGAAAAATAAATAAATAAAAATCAGATCTGGATTAATAGGGTAAGGCAATAATCACTCTTGGAGCAAGCGGATTGCGATCCGCTAACTCGTACTTGTTCTAAGTATAGAACGAAGGGTCGGTGACCTAAATTACGCTTCCTTAAGCGATAAGCTACGGCAGCCCCGCTGCACTTTCAGTAATGCCTCATTCCGTCCTCGCGGCACGGAAATTATACTTCGCATTGAATGCAACGCCTATCGCTTTCTCGATGTAGTATGATAGACGCGACAGGTCTCGGTGCGAACCACGCCCAATCGGAGACCCTTCTGAAAAATGATATTTGTGATCTCCTTCAAAAGGCCCTGAAACCATAGCGGCAATGAGATTATTCTACTACTGGATAAATGCGCCAGTTCTCGCCCCCCTTGACAGGGAGACAAAAACTTTGGGCGCGCCCGCCACGCCTATTTAGGCGGCGTGAATACCCGTGACGATCGTCGCTACATATTTTTACATGAAAAAGCTCTTTTTATAGATTATGATTATTAGTACTCAATCTAGCTCGCTGCCTCCTAGTTGGGAGACCGCAAGTGGGACGCGCTGTTGCTCCATTTTGAGCATGATTATATTCACGGCCACCTTGGCTTCATTCATCCAGAAGGCCTATAAGCTTTATACCAGCTTCCTCTTGGTGGGTACCCACCGACGATCGGTGGGGTGATCCTGGTGGTGTCACCAGCGCATTCTCCAAGCTAGTGAGCTCCAAATGACCGCCTCCATCCCTTTGGCCACTACTTCGTTGATCTCACGGGGACCATCGACGGGTATCAGCTTATAAGGCTAGTCTAGTTGCCCCGGGGACAAATGCTAGACCAGTTATGTTTCATCCTCGCCAAGAATACAGCCATTTCACGACTCAGCAATGAGATCGCCTACAAGTTCAACCTGGCGCAAAAGTTGCCGTGCTCTTTTCACAGAAGATGCTTAGTTTGTAATAGCCCGCATTACTAAATGCACAGAAGTTAGGAGCGGGGCCGTGAAATTCGACCAAACTGGGAGTCTGCTCTTTGAGAAGGACATTTATTGAAAATTCATGTTACTTAGACCGAAACCGAATATATACGCTAATTATATCTTACAGTAGAACTGCCTTTATAAAACTGGCTCGCCCGGAGCCTTATCATTTTCATAAACACTAATGATACAGTTGTGGCAAATGTTTAAGAAATAAATACAAAACATACCCCTTTACAGGCCAGGCATGATGCTCTGTCATCTCAACAGCAAAAGCGTCCAATACTTAAAATTCCTACATATCTTGTGAATTTTGGTGCCATCGAGGTTGCGAATGTAGATTTTTGCATCCTTTGCTAGCAAACTATCCCATTGAGACAGCGGTGGTGGTCTGCTTCTTCTATACGGTGCCGTGGTTGTTAAACCGGAGGCCGCTTTTTGATATTTGAATGATGTAGCTCATGCGTCTTACTCAGCACCAAGCAAACAAGACGCCTGCACACACATACTAAAACCAGTGCACACTTCGTGCATTGACATGTGAAGTTTACCCAGACTACCCCTTGCCGCATTAATTAATGCTCAATGCTCGACCCAACTTCAGCCTCGCTCCTAAGATCCAGCGTCGTGATAGTCACGCGCTACTGTTGTGTCTCCACCAAGCGCTCTAGGCTGTCGACTTAGGATGCAAGCTAAATCATAAGCCTGACACCTCCTCCAAGGCCTGGCACGGGTTCCTCGCCATGTGCTCGTCGCCATGTGCTCCTGGCCTTTCGTGTCGTTTGGCTCATAACAATTTAGTGAACCACTCGTGAAGTAAAAGTCTGAGTTATCGGCTGGATTTTACATGCGCACTACGCAGTAACCGCAACGATACACTGCTTCTTCAACTTTTCTCGACCATTTTCGACTCAACGTTTTCATAAGACTCTCCAGGAATCTAGAATCTCGTCGCCTGCACGTGTAATGGCATTTCACTACGGAGTAAACGACACTTTACTTTTGGCACTTGTCCATCTCTTTGTCATTGCAAGGGTTCGACAGCGTCGAAGATTATTCTTTTACTACAATATTTTTTGATACTTGATTATGAATTGTATGAGGTAGCTTCTACAAAACAATATCTTTTTTAGGGAAATAGCAGCAATATCTTGAGATGTATGCTCGCGCCTTAAATTTTCGACGTAGTTCAACCTCACCAATGTTCAAAGTGTCAGAATTGTTATTGAAACTGGATTGTTGCGACATTACTAACTTGATGCTTAAGTAATGAGATCCATAGCGTAGGTATAAAAGCCGGGCTTGAGTACATGTTTCTGTGATTTGTGATGGTCCTGGGTCCTCCTTCCTAAATTCTCCAGCGTAGAGTCAGCAGTTGATAGAAGGAGCTTGACTGATTCAATAAAAAATCATCGTGAGCATGACTGATAAGTCAGTATAAGAGCGCAGATCTAAACCAGTACGATTACTTCTGATTCTCTAGTAATTTCAACCTGTTCTCAATCTAGCGTGCGTGACCCTTGAAGCTGCTTTAAGCTGTAAAATTCTTAGTTAGTGAAGTTGTTAATGAAAGTATTTTTTGAGAAACTTCACGTGTTCGCTGCTTCTTGATACAATTGTCTCTCAGCATATTCATGCTAACTTGGTTGCTCCAATACGAGTTCACCAATAAATTGCTCTTTCAGGTGTATGTTTTCTCTTCTGTTTCAAATTTCCTACGATCATACGTTAACAATCTTCTTTGTTCGATCTCTATTTCTGGATGATCTCCCTTTCAGCTTATACATGTCGGGTCCCGGAGTCGATACTGCTCGACTTTATTGTTATTTTCCAGGTAGTAATTGTACAAAGCCTTAAACCTTCTGCTTGCTTTACAGCATCGCCACTGAAGGTTGCTTCAAGCGCGCCTAAATTTCTTAATACTTATAATTTTGTGAGAGTAGCATACATCCTCACCCTTGATTTGCCAAAGTGAGGACTGTGCACCGGCGTAAGCTACCATGTATATGCATCCGTATCTGAACTGCTTGGTTGAGAAATTCAAGTGGAACTTACGAAAGACAACTGACTTAGTGTGGTCCTTTATACAGCAAGAAAAATACAAGATAAAAATTAATTTAAAAAAACGACCCATTTGTGTCTGTGCAAACTTTATAATGATCTCTTTTCGTTTGCCCATTCGTAATCTCGCGGAACATGAGGAGCTCAATTCCGAAGCCCAACCAGCTCCTGGACACCCTTCTAGTGACTTTGCTCGTGTGTGAGCTAATTGTTATTACGCACACGCTATGGAAAGACAAGCAAATGCTTTACATTCTCATCGTCTTGTGCTTTGTGGTGGCGCTGGCTGTCAAGCTGATCAAGGCGTCGTTCGCCATTGGGGGCCGATGGTTCTCGTGTACATTTTTGCAGCACCTTGGAGATCCCTTGAAAAAGGCAGTGGCGATGAAGAAGTGGTGTGATCAGTCGTGGCAACTCGTCCTCCATGTGTCTATGAGTATGTTTGAGCTGTACGTGCTTCGCGATGAGACGTGGTGGCAGGATACAACAACTTGTAAGGAAAAGTCTCGGCGAGAAGGACTGTCGTTGACAATTTGGACACATGATTGACCATTTATTTCGTTTATTGATATATGATGTAGTGTGGGATCAGGGAACAGACACCGGTGTATTCCCATCACAAAAGTTTGCCACCAAGCTTCTTTACATCACGCAAATGGTAAGTCTTCTGCTTGTTAGAGTATGGCAAGATAAAGCATATCTGATCGTTGTTTCCAAGGCTATCTATATTTACACCGCGTTCTCGTGCAAGTTCATGGAGGAAATTCGCAAAGATTATTTGGTCATGATGACCCACCATGTTGTCACAATTGCACTTGTCACTTGGTCCTACGCAATTGGTTTCTTACCTGTAGGTGTCGTTGTGCTACTGCTTCACGATTTGACAGACATTCCACTCGATATGCTTAAGATGGCCAATTACCTCAAAATGGAGGGCGTTCCAGGTCTATTTACAAGCGAGATCTTGTTTTTAACCACGATAACGTTGTGGTTCTACTACCGTATCTACCTCTATCCAACCAAACTGCTCTACACGACTATGGTGGAAAATCGTGAGGCAACCATGACAATGGCGGATGCTCACGACTTTACAATACTATTCCCGCATCCAGGCCCTCCGTCGTGGCTACTCTTCAACTTGCTGCTTACGACGCTCTACTGTTTGCACATTTGGTGGGGGTCTCTACTTGTGCGAATATTTGTAGGCATATTCACAAAAGGCGCTCACGATACAGCTAAGGAAGAGTACGAAGGCGCATCATCCGATTCGGACAACGACGAGTAGGTGCCAGTGGCGCAATTGATACTTTGTAGACAAAATAAAATGTTGCAAACTTTTGGAACCTCTTCTACTTGGTCTTATTTATCAAAGAATTTTTTGGTGTGTGGGATAAAAAGACAGGCATCATGATGGAGGCGTTGGAAGAGGAACGTCCGGCGTCAGCTATTTCGCTCGTCACAGAAGAATCGATTGTGAAAGAATTAAGAACGATGCTTCCTTTAATGAACGCGAACACGGCAACACTAAAGATCGTGATGCAGAAGCTTGCAAGTCGTTTTGGCATGAATTTTGCGGACATCAAAGCGCAGTGGAGGCCTAGAATTAAGGCGGTGCTTCCTGGATTGCTAGGACTATGTCAAAGTGGAGAAGGTGGGAATGAGAATGCATCTGCTGAAACGAGTAACGGAGATGAGGATGATGCTGATTCTAAACCGAGTAGGCGGCGCGCCGTCAATAAGCGTAATGCAGTGGTGGATGCTAGCGATGAAGAAGATGAATACGCAAATAGCAGTGATACAGGTGGAGGCTATCTTGACGGCTCTGAAGATAAAAGTCTTAGTGATGAAGAAGAACACGTCTTAGACAGTGATATAAGTGAGGGCAATGAATTGAGCTTAGGCAAAGGTGGCGCTCAAAGACGAACAATGGTGCGTGTCCTCTATGTAGGTATCAATAGCTTGCCTATGTCTCAGTTTGTTAGTGAATGCACATTGTTCTAGAGTCACAGAAAAAAACGAAAGGGTACGGAGTCTGCACTGCCAACAAAAAAGTCGAAGACAGCTGAGCATCCGGACCAGACAGGACTTGCATCTTTAAAGGAACTCGGTCGCGCAGCTGGGGCTCTCAAGTGCGTTTTAATTTTTCGTATTGCTACACAGATTGTACTCATCATGCTTGGTGTTTGATTTTCAGTCCCCAAGTTTACAAGCACCTGAAGAGTGCGAAGTCGACCGAAGAAGCAGAAAATTTTTTGCGCGAACGGCTGGATCAAGCTGGAATATCGTTTCACGGCTTATACCCGACATGCCGCGACATAAGCGCCGCAAAGAAGAAGCACGCCAGGGAGAAGGAGCTGGAGGGTATCGACACGAGCTTGATAATTTCGGACAGTAGGCCGCGTCGTGGAGGAGTGAGGCATATTTCGTACAAGGAAGACCCTATCAGTGGTGAAGAAGATGCTGATCACGACGATGCCGAGGATGATTTTGAAGAAAAATTAACGGCAAGTGATTCAGAGTCGTCGGAAGCTACATTTTAGTTGAACGATTTAGTACATCTTATAAAGCATACTTGAAAAGCTGCTAAATTCACAACATTTTCAATTTATTTGCTAGTTGATTGGCTGAAACTGTTAGGTTTACTAACTAGCGCGATTGGTTGTCAGAGCGCGAAGTGTGTGGCCGATAACAATTGCTTTATCAGTTTCCAGAACCCGAACGTGAAGCATCATGCCGTCCTATAGCCAGGAGCCTGAAGACGCTCAGCGTGCCGCGAAGGCCCGCGGATCGCATCTTCGTGTGCACTTTAAACATTGCCGTGAAGTTACGCACGCCATCAAGGGCATGCCCCTGAACAAAGCTAAGAGCTTTCTTCAGGCTGTGCTCGAGTACAAGCAGGCTGTGCCTTTTACTAAGTTTACGGGTGGTTGCGGTCGTCATGCTCAGGGAAAGCTTCGCGGTGCTGCAGGTGACAAGTGCAAGTGGCCGCAAAAAGCCACCAAGATCATTTTGGACCTGGTGAAAAATGCCGAGGCCAACGCCGAGGTCAAGGGATTAGACACGGACCTGCTGTACATCTCTCATGCCCAGGCCAATACTGCAATCAAGCAGCGTCGTCGTACCTACCGGGCTCACGGCCGCATTGGCCCTTACATGTCTAATCCAGCCCACATCGAGCTGATTTTGACGGAAAAGCGCGCTAATGTAGCCAAGGCCGTGGAAGAAACCAAACCTGTCAAGGTTTCCCGTAAACGTCAGGCCCAGCTTCGCCTCAAGTCCGGCGGTGGCATTCCGGCCAACTAAGTTGTTTTTTGATATGCACGGAGTTTTTGCCGTGAAGCACAAATGGCCGGTCAGGAATGAGCGCTTGTAGACGCATGGGGTTGGCGAAAAGTATGGTAATCTTTTAAATACAGCTTTGCTGAAAATGGGTTCTACTGATGCAATGTTTGTTGCACCGAGCAAGAGCGTCTTCCAATCTGCTCTGTTCGTGACTTCTGTGTGGTCGGTTAGCTGGGCACCATTGCACAGGTTCGATAGTAATAACTAGGATGGACGGAAATAAATACGCTTTGTCTGAGACTAAAGTGAGGTACATCCTTATGATGATGATTTACAGCGATATGGCAGCAAATAAAAGCAGATTCGCTGACAAAAGTGATGGAGCGTACTGCTTGATATACATTCTTAGCGTACCACGGACGAGGCATACTGGCAACTTCTCATCAATATTTGTGGTCAGAATTCAAACCTTGCCGCATGGATTGCGATCGAAGATGAGTCGCCTCTGGCTCATCTTTCTACATTGAGTGATCGTGCACAATGTCTCAAATGCACTTCATTGTGATCTCTGCACACTATATTATTGTACTGAATAAGGGGCCTGTAACTTGATATTTTTACCTAAATTCTCCTTCCTTTTTAGCCCATTTTAGATTAACTACAAAGTTGGGTCTAGTTTTTGGCGGGAATGGCTAATAAATAGCAAGATGAAGTCTAAGACTCAGAGCTCTCTGCTGAGTTTCTTTAGCCCCCCTTCATCAGAGGATGCTTCGGCAAAGAAGAACAAAGCCCTACCATGTAGCAACAAAAGTTCTGGGGAGAAGTTATTTAGCTCGACTCGTAAGAAGATTGAGTTCTCCCCCAAGCTGAGGCAACCGATGGCTAACAAGGTAAATGCGGTCGGCGATGTGGAGAGAGAATGCTTATCTTCGAAGACAAACTTGAATGCCAAACGCAAGACTTACGAGGACTTTCTTGGCACAAGTTCTGAGGAGGACGGACCCGTGACGGCAGACAATTCGAAGCCAATAATGCTGAGGAAACGTGCAAGAAAGATTGTCGTTAAAGATGACGACGACTCGGACGACGAGCCTCTTGTGTCAGCTTATCCAAAAGAGAAGAGTTCGTGCAGTGTTATAAGTAGTGAAGAGGAATGGGATCATGAGAGTATAGAAAAAAGTGGCGATGGCGAGGTGTCTGAGTTCAGTGGTGCAGAGGAAGAGCCTTCGGATGATGATGATCGGGTCGGTGAAGGCGCGGAGCGAAAAAATTTGCCACTTCAAAAGCGAAGAAAAAGCGCTTCAGAAGCGATAAAGAATAACAAAGTATTAACAAAACCCTTTTCGTCCCCTCCACTTGCGGCAAAAACGAAGTGGGACAATGGAGCCTCTGCATCGAGTAAAATCTCGGCACCTTTGGTGGACCGTCCCGTTTTGCCCAGTACTGTGGCGGGTGCTGGCAATCACATGCACGATTCGCTACCTTGGCTGCATAAAGATCGACGCGACATTAATGGCCAAACGCCTGACTCTCCAGACTACGATCCACGCACTTTGTGGGTCCCGCCAGAGTTTCTGAAGAAAGAAACGCCGGCCATGGTACAATGGTGGGAAGTCAAGGCGCAGAATATGGACACAATCTTGTTCTTCAAGGTTGGAAAATTCTATGAATTGTTTCATATGGACGCTGACGTTGGCTTCAAAGAGTTGAATCTCATATATATGAAGGGTGAAAAAGCACATTCAGGCTTTCCAGAGATCGCGTACTCCAAAATGTCGGCTCAATTAGTCGCTAAGGGCTACCGTGTCGCTCGTGTGGAACAGACAGAGACTCCTGACATGCTCAAGGCCCGAAACAGCACACTAGCGAAGAAGGCAAAGGTTGTTCGTCGTGAAATGTGCTCTTTACTATCCATTGGTACGAACACAGCCAGCTTTTTGGATGCTCCCTTTTCATCTCAGGATCAATCGCCCAAGTATCTTTTAGCGCTCAAAGAAACTTGCGATGTCACACAGAAAAAAGTTCGCTTTGGTATTTGTATGGTCGACTGTGCATCTGGCGCCTTTCAGTTGTCTGAGTTTGACGATACGGAGCAAAGAGACCGATTAAAGACGCTGTTTGCCCAATTTAATGTTGTCGAGATTGTAACTGAGCGATTTCACATTTCAACTGACACTAAATTGTTACTGCAGCACACTGTACCTGCTGCCATTCGCTCTGCCCTGCGAGTGGGGAAAGAATTTTGGGATGCATCGAAAACGGTCGATGAAATTGAGCGTGCAGGATATTTCAAGGACCATGGGTGGCCGGAAGAGGTGCTACATTATTTAGAAATGGACAAAGCTGTAAAGCCTGAAGGACAGCTAGCCATTAGTGCTCTCGGTGGTTGCATTTGGCATTTGCGACGTAGTATAATCGACCAAGAATTGCTGTCGCTGTGTAACTTTAAGCGGTACAAGCCTTCGGACGAAGAAGCACGACAAGCTCGTGCAGAAAACAAAGCTCTATCAGCTGCAAAAGCTGAACTAAATCAACAGTATGTCGTGCTAGACTCTCAGACGATTCAAAATCTTGAAGTGCTTTGTAATAGCTATAACGGCTCGCGCTCTGGCTCTCTTATCGATATTATGGATAAAACAGTGACAAGCTTTGGTCGCCGCATGTTCCAAGATTGGGTATTAAAGCCGTTGTGCAAAATTGGCGACATTCAAGAGCGTCTTGATGCGGTTGAAGAGCTGGGAAACAGTAGTGATTTGATGATGGAAATTCGTGCCTATCTTCGCTTATTACCTGACTTGGAGCGGTTGCTGTCGCGAATTCACGCGCTTGGATCTGCGCATCGATCCAACGAGCACCCGGATAGTCGTGCAATCATGTATGAGTCTCAGATATACAATGTTCGCAAAATTAAGGACTTCCTAGCCGTGCTAAACGGATTTGACAAGGCCATGAACCTAGCATTTGAGCTGGGTCCTCGATTGTCGCAGTCTAAATCGACTATTTTACAGTCGATTCTTAGAAGATATAAAATTGAGGACGCTTTTCAGCCTAATGTCAGGCATGGCCTTTTTCCCGATCTCACTGAAAAACTGGAGTTTTTTAAGCGCAGCTTTGACCAGACTTCAGCCAGGACAAGTGGCGTAATCGTACCTCAAGCTGGTGTTGATCCAGAATTTGATGCAGCCTGTATTGAGATTGCAAATGTGGAGGAAGAGCTTGCAAACTATCTAAGTAAGCAGCGCACGGCGCTTCGGTGTCAGCAGATTTCGTACTGGGGGAAGAAAAAGGAAGATCGCTATCAGTTGGAGGTCCCCGAAAGCGCACTTTCAAAGCAGCCAATAGAGTACGAGCTTAAGTCGCGCAAGAAAGGGTACAAGCGTTTTCATACTGCAACAATTCGTGCTTTACTAAAGCGATTAGCTAATGCAGAAGACCAAAAAGAGGGAGCTTTGAGGGATCAGACTCGAAGAATTTTTTACAAGTTTGATACAGATTATAAGCATTGGATGAAAGCGGTTCAGTGTCTGGCCGTGCTGGATTGCCTAGTCAGTCTTGGATTACTCAGTAGCCAGAGCGAAGGATACTCGAAGCCCGAGGTAGTGGCGGCAAGCACTGACAATAATGGAATTCCTTTTATTGAAATTGAAGAAGGTGTACACCCTTGTGTAGCTGCAACGTACACTGGTGGAGACTTTATTCCGAATGATACGCGGCTTGGCATAGAAGGGAAAGGTCAAATGGTTGTATTAAGTGGACCAAACATGGGTGGTAAGTCGACGTTGCTGCGTCAAACGTGCGTTTTGACTCTCATGGCACAGATCGGGAGCTTTGTTCCCGCAACAAAATGTCGTCTGAGCCCCGTCGATCGTATATTCACCCGAATTGGAGCTTCCGATCGTATTCTTGCCGGCCAAAGTACTCTATTTGTTGAGCTGGCCGAGACAGCGACGATTCTCAATCACGCGACCAGCCACTCGCTTGTGATTTTGGATGAACTGGGACGAGGAACGTCGACGTTTGACGGTACGGCCATTGCATTCGCAGTAATCGAGCATCTTCTAGGCGACATTCAGTGCCGAACAATGTTTGCCACTCACTATCATTCGCTAGTTGAAGAGTACGCGGAAAACGACAAGGTCTCGCTCGGCCACATGGGATGCATTGTCGACTCTGGGAACGAACGAAAGGTGACTTTCTTGTATAAGCTGGAGGAGGGGATGTGCCCAAAGAGTTATGGTATCAATGTGGCCATGCTGGCCAACTTGCCGGACGAAGTTATTCGTTGTGCCGCAAAAAAGTCGGAGCAGTTTGAGCGCTCTTTGCAAGCTAATTCGCACATCGACCAAACGAGACTTCAATTTGCACAAACTGTAAAAGAACTGGTAGCACAAGGCGAGGAAGGCATTGACAAACTCAAGCAGCTGTGGGAGTATGCGCGTAGCATAGCTTAGTCGAATAGGGATATCACTCGTAAACTAATTTTATAGTGCTTTACTGACACTTACAAGAAATATTTACACCTTACCTATTGTTAATGTCAGTTCACACCAGGTGACACGACAAGACCTCCTCGATCGTTGCTGCAATCTTAATCGAAGATGTTCCAGGCGCGGAAGGTTGTGAAAGCGATTGGTTTCAATTGCGGAGATTCTCGCCATGCATGAGGCGTTAAAACAATGCAAGCCAGTGTTGTTGGGTTTACGGAGAACGAGATTTGCATCTCCGATCAGCTCCGCGATTCGCGCAGATGCTACATTTGCGGTAATACAAAAAATTTGCGCCTCGCGTGCACCAATTGCTCTCGGCTGAGATCCATGAAGCGTCGGACTCTCGTGGGATGACGGCCCTTCGCGGGGAGCGTAGAATCCCAGTAGGTGTAGGGCGACCTACACTTGTAAAAGTGCCGAGGTTAAGTTTAAAATCTCTGAGCGAAGTTTTATGTATTTGATATCGTGTCCCGATCCTGGATGTCATCCTATATATGGCGGGGCTAGAGCGCCATTAGCCAAAGGTAAAGTGGCAGTCGAAAATTACAGGTGGCATACACTTCCCTCCCTGTGGAGCTTTGGCGACTCATGAACGCATCTCAACGAGGAACGAGGCAGAACTGCTCGAGCACAAAGCTGCGATATCTTGTGTGCAGGACTTGAAAAAATATGCTAGGTGCCTCAGGCAAAGATCGGAAGGCAGAATGATTCGAGCTCACAGGGTGAGACGAGCTCGCGGTTGTCACTCTGTTGAGACGAAATAGAACGACTGTATGTCGTGGCTTCCAAAGTGGATCTCTGACAGGACGGCAAAGACCAGTGTCAGCTGCTGTCTTCTTTTCCAGGGCGAGTGAAGATCAAAGTTGACTGGAAGCCGCGGTCTTCTGTGACAGTGCTGTTGAAGTCGACGGGTTACTTTACGTTGCAATTAGAAGAGATAGACCCTACGGATAAGAAGGACTTGTTCATCCGTGACGGTACTGCTGAGTCAGCACACTGTGTGACGGTCGTAATGTCCGGAATAGCAAAGAGAGGCAAAAATGATTATTCACTCATGAATGGAATGACCAAGAGCGACTTTGTGGCTGTAAGTGCTCCGTCACTACTGCCAGACGAAGCTCTCCGAGAGATCGAAAACTATTCCTCGGGTATATTTGCAATAGAGTGCAGGACAATGAGGCCACTGAAATGGTACGGAGGTGAAGCTGAAGTCGTCATTTGTCATAGATGAAACTGTCATTGGAAACACTCGCGCAACACTGAATGTGAGGAGTCATATAGCTATCCTCACAGATCTTCCGGATCTGTTTTGTCATTTGTTGAAGGAATTTCACAGCGTCACGAGAGATCTACCACGCGTGTAGCTCATATTAACTTGGCTTTAAGAATCAAATATTACTTCACCCGACATCGACCCTTTTTTAGAGAGCTGTGTAGCGTCATTGACGCTTTCGTCAGCGCAAAGTATGACGCGAGTTTGGTGAGAAAGTAGACCTTCACACATGGTTCCGACATTCTGTATCCGAACGGTTGACAGTACGTGGTAAAATGTGCATACTTAGAACAAGCTTAATACAGCCACCATATGCCGTTTCTTCAACGAAGTTTGCTGCAAAACAGAATGATTAATTGCACTTATATCACCGCCCTTGACCTGGCTGACACATAAAATCAGCTGCTCATGAGAGACAGCGATAAATCTCTCAATGTAGCTTGTACTCCCTGCTGGATGCTTTGGAAATGGCATTTATACCACATGTACCATCTAATGAACTAGCAACGATAAATAGTCTGGCGATGTTCAAACGACATCGTGGCTATTCACAATTCTGTTTTGAAGATATTTGGTCCATATTCGTGCAAAGCACGCGACGTCGGGTGTGTAGAGCAGTGACCGAGTGTATGCGCTTAGATGAGCTATATTTCATTATAGACAAGTTTGAGTTCGGCGTCAGAGATTCTTTTTTAATGTCATCAAAAAAGAATCTCTGACGCCGAACTCAAACTGGCAGAGCCTGTGAACAGACCCCGCAAAGATAAAGGCCGATGTAAATTGACCCGTACCCTTATTCCAAACGGACTTATTCAAGAGGTTCGATCTGGCCACTACTGGTTGAAGTACAAGGCAACAAATGCCGACATGGCACGGCCCCACACCAATGTAAAAGAGCATGTGAACACGCTTGTCTAGCCAGCGTTAAGAGGGAATTTATACTTATACAGCTTACGGAGAGAAACTACTTGCAACGCAGTAAGCTCTTAGGAATCTCAGTATGCACCTGTCTGGTTTGAAGTCATTTGAATCTATACATCGTTACGTACAGCGATTACAACACCATCTTTTTTGCAGAGAATGGCATGAATGTTATCCTTCTTCGCTAAGTATGCATTTGAAATAGGGTACACGCTGGGTTTGACCTTAATGTGATAATCGATGGGCTTTGCTCCGCGCATCTATAAAATGTCGCATGTCGCGAAAACGACGTTGCCAATTGATGAGGCGATAAGTTCAGCGTACGAGTCGAGCGACACAATTGTCGCATTGCTGATAGATTTATGAAGCAACGGGTTTGAGAGCTTGAATGATGTATTGTCAAATCATGCGTCTGCGCGTCTGCACCGCTATGCATTTGACTAAGAATGACTAGATTAGTACGCTGACATCATGGTGCTCAGAGTGCAGAGTTGCCTGACGATGAGAGCTTGAGGAATAGTATACTGTACGAGGTACAGCTATACTCCTTGAGTGGCTCTCACGGTGAGTGTTATGTATTTATGGCTCAAAATGGGTAAGTGAGAAAGCATACGCGTCTGAAACGTGTAAATATGTTAAATACTCACCACAATCGGCGGCACCATCGATCAGCCTGTCGGTGCTGGTAGATTGTTGACTGTCCGTACGTATAGATTTTATATTCAATCCTTTAAAAGGCACGTACGGTATACCGGCATTGTGACGTCCGAGTAAGTTGGCTCATCTGGCTGCTGCCATTAATTATGTGACCGAAAGAGGCTCTTGATCATATTTAACTCCGGATACACTTTGAAGTAAACTCAGTGATTTATTTTAAGATGATTGCGCATCATGCGCCGGAACCGCAACGCTATGGCTGAAGATCATTACAGAAATAGCAGCAAGTCGGTGCCGGAGGCACACGAATATTACGTGGGCGAAGTGTGTTATTGAATTCAGTTAATTTATCTTCACATGTGGTCTGTGATAATAAGTTGTGATAGCGATACATTGGACTGCTCGCGGTAGTAGCAAAAAAGTTTACATTGAACATTTCAAAAAGAATGCAAACAAATCTTGTGTTTTACTTGGACTTACTGAAGTCATACCACGATCCCGTAATCTAAAGCCAGTCAGATATGAATTGCCCCGTTGGAGAAGGGGTGCCGTTTTCATCATCCTTGCAGGTGGGTTGCTTTTTGTATTGGAATAGCGCGGTTCTCATCCGCCGGATTGCTGCATGTAATGCAGTGTGATTACGAGGCTCAGAGAGCGAATGTAAGATTTGACAATGAAACACTTGGTGGGTCGGTGGGTACACCAGGGCTGCTGATGAAGTGATAAAACTACATTCAACTGAACCCCCTATAGAAATCTAAAATTCCACTTCGGAAAGACTGACCTGATGCCGTGTGTGCTCACGATATGGACACCGTTCGCCTTGCGGAAAATAAGAGCCTTGGTTGTTAGCAATTCTAACCGTCCCATGATTGAAAACGCGCTCGCGTGTTAACTTTTGTGCGCTTGTTTCGCTTTTGGTATGAGCGGAATGCTCGCTTGTAAACGCAAACCACGCAATGACCGGCATTATACGAGCTAAGAATTTAATTTACGTTGATGACTTGGGCAAGAGTCGGTGTGACTCTTACGCTAGCATTAGAGCATGCTGGGCTTTTGAGTCACATACATATCATTGATGACGGGCATAATTTTGCCGTGAGTTTAACGTCGAGTGTTTCAAACTTCCCGACTATAAAAAAGTGCACATAGTACTACACTTGTATAGCGGGTGGGTGATTACAGAGATGACACGGCTAGATGTGTAGTCGGGGTTTGCGAAGAAGTTTCGTCAAGACTCGGTGAGTTGCTGCAACTATTCTCATCAAAGAATATCTGGCGTTGTCTCCGTAAAATTGCGCCGATCGCATAGATCGCACCTTTTGTAAAGGCTCCTTGAGCCATTTGTCTTGGTGCACTGGAGGTAAATCGGTGCAAGTTTGCTCTGCGGTGCAGGTACCGACACTTACAGATAGTTGAGTGGAGCTCCATGCGCAGTATCCTCTCGCTGAGCGGTCACTTTTGCGCAGTTTCTTACAACGACAAAAATGCGAGCCCCAGTTTTGTCCACATCATAGTTGGAAAAGGTGTGATGAGTTAAGCACTAAAATCTTTCGACCTACTTACTTAAATATTTGGAACAATCGTATGGAATTCACATTTCTCTTTGGTGTAATTGTAATTGATCATATGTATGGAATTATCGTCGTTTGATGATACAGATCCAAAATGGAGGGGTCCGTGATACTCGTGAATGGCTAACCACACGACATCATATAAGACAACTTTATAATAGAAAGGTGAAACGTATATGTATTGTATGAATCGTGTCACTGGGGTCAAATTTATCCTCGCCATAGTAATTCAATGGAGCCACCACTGCCCAATGTTATATATTTGAATGACGTCGGCGGAGGAAGACCCCAAATTTTACTGTATGTTTTTCATGGACACGTCACTTTAAAAGAAAAAGCCCGGGAACTAACAGTTGCGTTGTAATGAAGTTAGACGATTATTTAAACATCTTCGCGGTGTTCAACGAGCTTGAACTGGAAACATCAAACGTGATGTGTGCACAAATCAAAAAATTGGGCAGATTCATGTTATCTGTTTACTCGCAGACTAGAGTTTGTTGATTTGTATCTTTCTTTATTTCAGTGGCAATAGATCGCAAAACTCTGATACGACTGTTGGTGACAAGCCCAAAGAGCTACCTTTGCATCCGCGGTCGTAATCAGACGCCAACTTTGCGGCTAGCAATTTCAGACGAAAAATGTTTGATAGCGGTAGCTATTCAATTGAGCTCATGAAAGCATCATTGCAGCGGGAACACTGGCATTATCGACAACTGAGGCAGTGAACGTTGCTGCGATAGAGGTGACTCAAGATATTTCTTTATACTACTACTGAATTAAAAGATTGAGGCTAGGTGCAAATGATGTAAGCTGACAGAATACCTGTGTAAGTATCGAGCTAAACGAGCTTACCAAAGGCGATGCACATGAACTTCAAACTGATATTGATATAAGACTGTGCCAGTTAAACATTGTGCTTTCTGAGTATGTCAGTACCGCCGAAATGCTCAAAGACTCCAATAAAAAACGCTGCCGTGGACAAGTAACCTCATGCAGGCGACGTAAAGCCGGATCCCCGAGGACCATCGCAGAAATGCCGAGTAAAAAATTGTCACCTGCTACGTACATTATAGATTTGTACATACAACTCACACTTTTGTAGAGCACATTTATTGTACAGTTGTCCGACATTATCACGACAATTTGAAGTAGCTGTACGTACATAAAGATGAGATTAATTAAGACAATGACTTTGTAAAGACGAGATTTGAGGTGCATGTGTGCTGTAAGCCTCACGTTTAGCAATACAAATAAAATTGTGTAATTTGTTATCAGTATAAGAAAGCTTATTTGAAACATACGAGACACTTGAGAAACGCTTTTGGATTCACACCTGAATGGAGCTTTCAAACTTATATCATCCGCGTGTTCGTTAACGCGGACACTTTGCGTCAAAGCTTTCTCGTGCTTTGTGCACTGAAAGAGGTGCGTGTCTTAGCAGTTACTTTGTAGTGTGCATTTTGAGTTAGTCTCATAATTTTATCAGATGTCATACTCACTTAAACTTCGTTTTTCTAGCGCACCGTGAGCATATCCATATATCGAGCGCACACGGGCCGCCTGCTACTTCTTTGCGTCGACTACACTTCCTATTCTTACTGCACCAGAATTTGTTGAGAACAATCAGGGATCATTTGGTTTGATCTATATGACTCTCTTGATTATCATCGGGTGTACAATCGAAAATCGTAGCCAGCAAAGTGCGCCTGCGGGAACACAGATGGCTTCATCTTTTGTTAAGAGAAAAATTTGCTCTTCTTTCAGTTGTACGGTAAGCTGAATTATACAAAGTGTTGCGCTTTGCATCGAGTGATTGAAAAGGCGCGCAAACTCTTGCTCAGGCTATATGTGCTTTGTGTTTAGACAGCAAATAATATTTTCTGGTTCGTGAATATTCCCTTCTCTATCACTACAAACGGCTTTGATGATAATCAGTGTTTGCGTGCATACTTCTACAGATATTTATGATGATTGTGGTAGAAGTACAGATCTCCGTTTGATGTGGAATAGTCCTTCTTAGATAAATTCGAATTGTACAGCACGAACAACCGGATTACATATCCGTTATCATATTCTCGGCCCGTTAATATAGGACAATCTACCAACCGTCGTTCTCGCTGACGAACGGATACTACACGCGTTATCCATAGCGCCTGGAGCCTTTTTTAAACTTGCCATCGCGCAGTAAATGTTACACTGGTCCCACTGCAGGGCACTATATCATGCAAGTTTCAGAAAGGCGCGGTTGTTGTCAGCGTAATAGCGTTTGGTAGGAATCAATGATTGTTACTCGCCGTATGTTATCTTCGAGCAGAATGATCATACTGATCGTTCTGTTAGCGTACGAATGTCCACACTCTCGGAATTCCATCACGTAGATATATTTACAGTGCGATCTAGAGCACCATTCAAATATTTTCATATGATTTCTGTTTATCATTGCACATTACGGATGATATTCTCTGGAAGTTTGAGCGCGTTGCATCCTGTCCCGAATTAGCTTAGAATTATCGCGTGG